TTTATTTGTGTCCAATGAGGATTAAATCAAATAAATACACACCCAGTCACATCATAATCAAACTCTCAAAAAACAAAGAGAATTTTAAATCAGCAAGGGATATCCAACCCATCACATATAAGGGATCCTGAATAAAATTGACAACTGATTTTTCTATTCAACATTGTTCTGTGGGTTCCAGCCAGAGTAATAAGACAAGGAAAAATAAAGAAACAAGGAATCCAGATTGGAAAGTAACGCTACTCCTTTTTTACAGATGACAAGATCTTGTATAGGGAAAATCCTAATCAATTCACCAAAAAAAATCTACTAGGACTAATGAACTGGTTCAGAAAGTGTGCAGGCTACAAGAACAACAGACAAAAATCAATTGTATTTCTATATACTAGCAATGAACAATAGCAAACAAAAGAATATAATAAAATATTTAGGAGTAAATTTAATAAAAGAAGCACAAGATTTGTATACTGAAAACTACCAAGTATTGTTGAATGAAATTAAAGCATAGCTAAATAAGTGGAATGACATTCTGTGTTCATGGGTCAGAAGATTTAGTGTTTTTAAGGTGGCAATATTCCCCTTAAAAATATACAGATTCAGGGGCCGGCCTCTTGGCCGAGTGGTTAAGTTCTCGTGCTCTGCATCAGCGGGCTTGGGTTTCGCCGGTTCAGATCCTGGGCGTGGACATGACACCTCTCGTCAGGCCACGCTGAGGCAGTGTCCCACACAGCACAACCAGAGGCACTCCCAACTGGAATATACAACTACGTACTGGGGGGCTTTGGGGAGAAGAAGAAGAAGGAAGGAAAAAAAACTGGTTGTCAACAGGTACCGATCTTTAAAGAAAAAAATACAGATTCAGTGGAATCTCTATAAAAAATCCAGCTGCTTTTCTTTGCATAAATGGACAACCTGATCCTAAAATTCGTATAGAAATACAAGGAACATAGAGTAGCCAAAACAATCTTAAAAAATAATATAGTTGGAAGGCTCATACTGATCAAATTTTACTGCTAACTTTAGTAATAAAGACAATTTGGTACTGGCATATGGATATACATAAGTAACGAAGGAATAGACTATCAGAAATTAAGTCTTACATTTATCCTCAATTTATTTTGACAAGGCTGCCAAAGTAATTCAACAGGGTAAAAACAGTGTATTTAACAGGTAGTACTGGGACCATAGGGTTGCCACATGAAAAGAATGAAATTGGACTTCTTCACTGATTATCAACATACTTGTGAGAACTAAAATCTACAAAACTCTTAGAAGGAAATATAGGACTAAATCTCTTTGACCTTGGATTAGGTGATGATTTCTTAGATTTGACAGACAAACAAAAATCTACTACAAGGAAAAAAAAGATAAATTGGATTTTATAGAAATTATCACCTTTTGTGCTTCAAAGGACACCATCAAGAAAGTGAAAAGACAACCCACAAAGTGGGGGCATGTATTTGCTCATCCTATAAATGATAAGGGTTTTGTATCTAAAATATTTTTTTAAATCTTACAATTCTACAAGAAAAAGACAACACAAGTAAAAATGTGAAAATTATTTGAATGAAACATGTACAGGAAAATATACAAATAAATGGCCAATATGTATATGGAAATATGCTCAACATTATTAGCCATTAGGGAAAGGGAAATCAAAAGTACAATGAGATATCACTTCACATCCACTGGGACGGCTAAAATCAAAAAGATAGGACAAAAAAGGGTTGATGAGTACTTAAAAAGGTTGGGATCCTCATACACTGCTGATGAGATTGTAAAATGGTTCAGCCACTTTGGAAAACAGTTTGGCAGTTCTTCAAAAAGCTAAACACAGGGGTCGGCCCCTTGGCTGAGTGGTTAAGTTTGTGTGCTCTGCTTCAGCGGCCCAGGGTTTCGCTGGTTGCAATCCTGGGCGCGGACGTGGCACCACTCATCAGGTCATGCTGAGGCGGCATCCCACATGCCACAACTAGAAAGACCCATAACTGAAAAAAATGCAACTATGTACTGGGGGTATTGGGGGAAAAAAGCAGGAAAAAAAAAAAGTAAACACAGAGTTACCATGTGACTCAGCAATTCCACTTCTACATATGTTCCCAAGAGAGTTAAAAGCATATGTTCATACAAAGCCTGCTAAGGAATGTTCATAGCAGCATTATACTTAATAGCCAAAAAGTGGAAACAACCCAAATGTCCATCAACTGATGAATGGGTAAACAAACTGTAGTATGTAGTATGTATACTACATACAGTGTAATGTTATTCAGCAATAAGAAGGAATGGAGTACAGAACATGGATGGACCTTGACAACATTATGCTAAGTTAAAGATCCAGTCACAAAAGACTACATATTGTATAATTTCATTTATATGAAATGTCCAGAATAGTCGAATCAATATGAATAGAAAGTAAATTAGTGGTTGCCAGGGCCTGGTGGTGGAAAAAATGGAGAGTAAATGCTAATGATTATGAGGTTTCTGCTTGAGATGATGAAAGGTTCTGAAATTACATAATGGAGATAGTTGCAAAAAACTGTAAAGGTACGATTCACTTCAAAAACACTGAATTATATACTTAAAAAAAATAAATTTGGGGGCTGGTCCCATGGAGCAGTGGTTAAGTTTGGCATGCTCTGCCTTTGTAGCCTGGGTTGATGGGTTCGGATCTTGGGTGTGGACCTACACCACTCGTCAGCCATGTTGTGGTCTCGAACCACATATAAAGTGGAGGGAGATTGGCACAGATATTAGCTCAGGCTAATCTTCCTCAGAAAATATAAATAAATAAATTTTATGGTATGTTAGTTATGTCAATAAAATTTCTATTTGAAGAAAAGTATTTGAAAAAGCATGTAAATAGGATAGAATAAAATGCAGAACGCAGAAAATAAAGATGTTCACATATTGTTTTCAGCCTTGACTTTGTTTACCTATCACTTTTTTTTTCGGTGAGGAAGATTGGCCCTGAGCTAACATCTGTGCCAATCTTCCTCTATTTTCTGTATGTGGGATGCCACCACAGCATAGCCTGATGAGTGGTGTGCAGGTCTGCACCCAGGACCTGCTGAAGTGGAGTGTGTGAACTCAACCACTACACTACCGGGCTGGCCCCACCTAACACTTTTTTGAAATCCATATTAGGAAACTAAAACAGTTAACTGATCTTTTGGTTTCCTTTGGATTAGGGTTAATAATTTGTTTGTGAATGCAATGAGTAGTAGGACACGGTGATGCAAATTTTCTTCAAAGGAAAATTTATGACTTGGTAATTTTAGTATCTGCCCAGCTGGCTTACCCAAAGCCTGAGGTCAGGGTTCCATTATCAATCAACGTGGTGTTCCAAAGATTTCCACATCTCAGTATCCACATTGTTCCTGCTGCATACAGTACTTCATCAAATCCTCTTTTCTGACAAATATATTCTGGGTTTGTACACAGGCAATTCAATCCAAAGGTGCATGTGAGTAATTGGAATAGTTTGGGGAGATTTATCACTTGTAAGTATCTGAAGATACCTTGATGGAAGAAACTTTTAGCAAATGATACACTACTCAAATTGGCAGATATCAAATCCACGGATTTGTGTTACATAAAAGTTATCATACCACTTTTTCAACCCAATTGTTTTACTTTAGTTTGCTAGAAAATGCATTTTCAAAATGAGTCAATTGACAATGAAATCAAACATTTTTCAAACAATAACTTTGATTTATTTATGAAAATTAGAAAATTAAACTATTACTATTTCAGGGACTTCAATACTCCCATAACTTTGAAGTCCCCTTGAATTCCACCTCCTTTTTGAAGTACAGTGAAGAGTTTTAATCTCTGAATGAAGAATATATAAAAACAGAGAGACACTAGAACAAAACAATAGATTACATTACACTAAAGAAGATTTAGAGCAATTTTCTTTGTCTCTATGAAAAAGATGCAAGAATTGATACCTCTAAGAAAATGTTTCTTTTGTAAATGCCACTTTTCTTTGGAAATCTTTTAAAATATGTTTATCACCTGTTATAATCCAACTATCAGGCAGACATTTACATTTTTAAAGTATTTATTTCAAAAACTATATTTTAAGAGTATCAGAATTAACAAAAGAGAAGAGCAGCCAGCCAGAACATATTCCCTGAATATCGTTATTCCATGTTCCTCTTCATTTATTATCTAAATATCCAATACAGTCTCAATGGTTATATTTTATCATTGGCATAACTATTTTGCACTTTTCACTTACTATATCATAAGCGTGTATTCATGGTGCTAAGGAAGTTTTACAATAGTTAAAAGTGACTGTTATTTAATAAAATTAATGTACCATATTTATTTAACCACCTATTTCCTGCATTTTCATTTTTAAAATATCAGTTTTATATTCTGCTAAAATATGTATCTTCCTGCATATAGAATTAAAAATTATTTTCTTAAATTCCCTCTAAAAGCTGTCCATTATTTTCCCCAAAATAACCAAACACTAATATTTGGGAATGGAGAAAGGGAGAGAGAGAAGCAGTTAAGTCACAGTAGTTAAGAGTTTGAAATGGTTTGAATCCCTGCTCCATCATTCACTAACTGCGTATCCACATGCAATATTCCTGACCTTATTTTTCTTTCTGTTTTTATTTTTAAAATGGACATACGTCTATTACCTACATTAAAGGGCTATCTATACAAATGCATGCAAAGTACTTAGCCCAGAGTCAGGCATTACTAAGTATTCAATAAACAGTATCTATGATGATAACAATGATGACGATGAAGGTGATGATGATGATGATGATGACAATGGTGAGAAGGAGAAGGAATTTCAACATCTTTTCTTACCTTTGTCATCTTTGAGTCTAGATTTCCACTTTGAGTCTATAATGACAAAGAATATATTCTAGTAGCTTTGGCTTAAAGTAATACAGTAAGAAGTGCATGTGTTTGGGGAGGAGAGTAGGTTTCAGCGTAAAGAAACATCCAAGGAGGAAGACAGACTCAGTGAGAGCTTCAAGTGAATTATTTATTGTACCTGCATTTTTCCTGAACCTATTCCCTACAGGTGGTGGATTTCGTTTGTTTGTTTGTAAATACAATGAAGGTTGATTTCAATATGTTGATTATCCCTCGTTTATAAAATACAATAAACTCTGAACATAATCTGTTGTCAAAAAACCTTGTTTCTTGTAGCCTTCGGAACATAGGGAGAAAATGCATCTTACTTCAAACCAGCCAGTAGCAGGGTGATGCATTCCTAGATCCTCTTCCCGCCTGCCTCAGGGGTGCTCTACTCGTTAGGCAGAGGTCTTTGTCCAGTGTTGATTTTTACTCAGTACCTTGAGTAAAAGATAAGTGCAACATTCTGGCATCCATTGAGCAAAAGCTAAACATAGCAAGAAGACAAAAGTTGATAGATTAAGATGGAGCTATCAGCTTAGTGTGATTATTTCAAAGAATTTTCTTCACATATATTGTTCAATAATCAATTCTCGTAATGTTTTATCATAGGGTATTGAGAATAACCTCTTCAATGCATCTTTAATAGCATGATACAATGTATATGACACCATTTAAAGGTCTGTTGGTACACTGAATGAACATTGGACGAAAGCCAGGAAATTACCAGTGTATTTCTGTTTCAGCATTAAATCATCCAGTGAACTTGGGCAAACAAAGGCTATTTTACGCTTCCCTTATCTATAGATTGATGGGGTAAATGAGATGATCCTTATGCTTTTTTCTAGCTCTAGAGGTCAAGGAATCTATTTATCAATACTTTCAGTAGATATTATTATTCTCACTTGCTGATGAGTAAAGTGAGGTCAAGAGGATGTAAGTGACTTCTTTAGGTCACACAGTGAGTAAATAATGAAAGTGAGATTTGAGCCTGGGCATCTCACTCAGTTTGTCTCATAGAATGAAAGATGATGCGAGCAGTAACGTAGTAGACCAATTTAAAAGAACTATCCTGGAAAACAAAATAGGTGAGAGGTTATTTGGGGATCTAGGTGAGCAATGCTGAGTACCTGAAATAAGGTAGTTGCCGTGGGTGTGAAGTGTAAAGGATGCGTACAAATTATATTTATGACAGAGAATTAACATATCTTGACTACCTATGTGATCCATTGAATGTGAGGTTTACGATAGAGAAAAATCTAAAATGGCTTCTAGATCTCTGACTTGGGAACTGCATAAATGGCATTTTCTGTGATAAGGAATGTGGTAAATACAGGATAGGAAGCTAAAATGATTAGTTTAGGAAAAATCTCTCTCCTAAGGATGTTGATAGGGATATATATTTTGTAGATAATAGAGTGTGACAGAGAGAAATTATTAGGCCATATTTAAACTATATAAAAATCATCAGAAATATGCAAGTCCATAAATGTGGAAATGATAAATTAGGGAGCATAATTAAAGTAAAAAGAAAAAGAAAAGAAAAAAGTAATCTGACTATGGCCTTCTGGGAGCACTAGAACATAAAAGGTGGAAGAGGGAAGAGAATCTAGGAAGGAAAAAGCCTGTATTGAAGTAAGAAAATAATGAAGAAAGAGTTGTATAGAAGTCAAAGAAGGAAAGAATTTCAAGGAAGAAAAGAAAAACTGTTATGGAGAGATTGAATATAACATAACGTTTGGATTCGAAAGCCAAAAGGATATCAGCGACTTCAGTGAAAGCAATTTCAGTGGATTGGTAGGGATATAAGGTTGAAAAGAGTTGAGAATTGAATACAAGGTTGTAAAATCAGGGGAAGTTTTAGAAAATATGATACATCCATTAGACTGACGCTGCTGGGACAAATGTTCTTATACTGACATCAGAATTATATACCAACTATAATCACACTGGTGTCATTGCCACCATCTTCCCTTGAAGCTATATTGACCATTCCCAATATTTTTTAAGCCTTTCTTTGGTCAGAAAATTATACAGGGCAGAGTGTAGATCAGATAAGACTGATCTACTCTGTTGGTCTAGAGATTGACCCATGAGGCCTAACCAAATTGGGATTTCACTAAAAAATCTATAGATTTGGTAAAATAGATATTTTACCCGCATAACCATGCTAAGAACAGAACAAGTTATATCAGATTTTGGTGTAAACATACAGTTTTATTAGTGTTACTAAAGACTCCTAGAATTGCTTCTTTTTTAGAATAAAGAATGCCTCATTAGCCACTGACACATCATAATTGCCATATACTCTATTTAAATCTAATTCTTGTTATGGATGTCTCAGTGCTGTAATAACCCTGTCAGTCGATCTGCTACACATTCTTATATGTAGGATCTTCTCTTGAAAACTTCAAGCTACTATTGAATACTGGTGTTTGGACATTGCCTTCACTAACAGGTTCTAATGCTTAATAAGTAAGAAAGGACATTCTACTTGAACAACTTCCTTTCATTGTCTCTGATATGCATTTGCCAGTGAGGAAGTAATGCGGCATAACAGGAATGTGGTGTTGGACTGGGATATTGGCACTACGTATAGAATCTAGTGTCAGTTCTGTTACTAACTAGCTGCATAAACTTGGAAAATTCCTGTAAGTCTTGGGTATTTATATTTCATCTTGGTAAAATGAGAAGCCCCAAGAGAAAGTCTCCTTAGAACTCTTCCAGTTCTAAAATGATTTGTATCTGTAAATGCTTTTGCATCTTGTCTCCTCTAAGGTGGAGACATGGATATTAGACTTCCCAGAAACACCTTCGGTACTACCCAGTCTGTTAGCCCTGACATAATACTTGCTTTAATGTCATTCCCTTCGACTGGACTTGTGCAAGAGATAAATGGTAGCTGAACAACTTCCTTACTAGATTTTATCTGTGAAACTGAAGAGGCTCAACTGTGAACAAAAAGTGGAAAACAGAACATGTCAAGGGAATACTGAAGTCTAACTTCAAATAAGGTGAGTGTGCTGGCAAAAAGCGGCAGCAAACACTGTACATCAATAGATAGGGAAAAAAAACCCAGGTTTTTAAACAAAATTCAGGCTTACTAGGATTTCTAAAGGCAGAGGCACCTGAACTTCAGGCTCTGTTAGACAGTAGCAACTTTCTCAAGCCAGAGAAGAATCTCCACAAGAGCACAGTGAGGTGAAGACTGCTCATTATCGGTCTCTGGTGCTGGTTCACAGAACCAGACATTGTGGTCAAGGGCATATTCCTCAAACTCTTATGGATTGAACTGGTGAGAGTCATCTAGACTGTGCTACCAGGCTTCAATTATTCTGGAGAATTAATGTAGGATCTGCTGAATAAAATGTTTTGCATGTGTCCAAATTCCCTTGAACACATGATGGTCTAATTTTAATCTGGCAGATATAAGTTTATGTTGAATCTCTTTTTGTGCTGTTACTTGAGGCAGTAAGTTTCATGAGGTAGTTCAATTTGTAAGGTAATATTTGCTGTCAGTTATGTTCTCCTCCTCCTCTTCCCTCCCCCTTCCACTAATGTAATTTTTATTTAAAGAGAAATACTTGCAGTTGCATTCTGAATTCTTCATATCATCCAAAATTCATCATAATTCTGTCAGCTTTCTACATCTTTTCCAACTGAATATTTTTCCTCCCTGCCTTCTTTTTCATTACATTTGGCTTGTATCTTCCTACTTTATTCAGTGTTCTCTACCAAGGTACACATTAGAATCATCCAGACAACTCCTTATCCTGGAACAGTGGTTTTAGAAACTCTGGGAGCACTAACATCTGTAGATTTTTAAAGATTGGCCCCGAGTTAACATCTGTTGCCAATCTTCCTCTTTTTGCTTGAAGAAGATTGTCCCTGAGCTAATATCCGTGGCAATCTTCTTCTATTTTGTATGTGGGTTGCTGCCACAGCATGGCTTGATCAATGGTGTGTAGGTCCATGGTCAGGATCCAAACCTGTGAACGCCAGGCCACCAAAACAGAGTGCACGAACTTAACCACTACACCACTGGGCAAGCCCCAGTAGCTTTTGTTTCTATTGTGTGACAGAGAGAGCTATAATCTATTTCTTTACAGATTTTTATGAGATCCAATGATCTTTTTATATTTGTGACTAATGAGACGCTCTTATTTTGGTGTTTTGAGTTAAAGGGGTACAATGGTTTGATGTGTCTAGTGACTTTAGATTCAAGAAATATCTCTGGCCCAGAATTCAACCATGTGCCAAGCACTATACTATGTGCACTCATTTTCATCATCTCATGCCAATAACTCAATCAAATAGATATTATTCTCAGATCAAAGATAAGAATACGAAAGGTCAAAATTTTAAATTATTTGTCTAAAGTCAAACTAATGGATCTATAATTAAAACCACATTTCTTGGTTCCAACTACAGTGCTCTCTTTCACGGTGCTGTTTCCCAGGTAAATTTCAGGGTCAAGACTGAAAGATCAGAGGCCATTATTCTATAAATAGTGCTTTGTTTCTTGTATTCAATGACTATGCTCTTTGCATAATAAAATAGATCTATGATTTGCTGTTTACTCACACAGTTCTAAAGACCATGTCCGATGGTTTATTTTCACTGTGAGCATTCAACTACGTGAAAACTCTTCATATCATCTGAAAACTTGATTCTGAAAGCCTTCGTCATCCAGATATTGATATTGTTTATCAAATGTGTCCTTTTACCATTGCTGTTCCATTTCTAGTGGAAGATAGGCCTCTTAAAGCCTTGCCATGACATTTTAGTTGCCTCTAAATCAAAATATTTTAAAGGCCTGTTGAAGGAAAAGTTGAAAGAGGAATTACATTAAGTTCCCTATTTCATGTGTGTTTATTCTTCCAAATACTGAAATCCTTTAATGGGTAGCTCTTCCTCATATGCAAACCTACTTGCTTTGCCTCCCATTATTTACTGATTCTATTCAGTAAATTCCAACACTGAAAATAAAATTTATCATTTCAGTAGTTTCTAAGTTCTGGGATATTTTGAGTTGACAAAATGCCTGCAGCCAGGCAATCTTTGGATCCAGAAGCTAATTGAAAATACAGGTTGCATGTTTAGCCAACAGTTGGAATATTCCTAAGTTCTTCCTTATAATGACTTAGGCAAAAGACATTAATTTAGTCTTGCTACTAACTTCTTTATACCCCTTAATGCAGTTTTTGGAGAGTGGCCACATATGATCCCAATAGATTGTACAATTTGCTTTCTGCCTTTAATATATTTAAGAAACTCCTCAACCAGCTTTGAAATCTCTTTGAAAAACACTCTACAAAGTCTTTTCTATTCTGGTTGGTTTTGTAGCTGACATCGTGGCCTTTACTGATTTTTGGAGGGGCTGGGGGCATAGGAATTTTTTTTAATCATTTTCCTAATATGTGGGCATTTAAAGTAGAGAATTTGTTGATGTTTACATGAAAAATACCATCAATAATTAGCAAATTG